TGAGGGAAGCCCTCTAAAAAAATTAAAACCTATTAAAAGAAAAATATTCCCTCTCTTGAAAGGATGTTACTATTAGAGATCCTCTCTAAAAGGTATAAGAATGTTTTGAATATTATTAAGTAATATGCAATTTAATAACAGAAGCAAAGTCTTAGTATAGTGCTGGCATAAGGGGGGGTGCTGTGTTCATTCATTCATTCATTAGTTCACTCAACAAATATTTACTGAGTACCCACTGACAGCTCATCTCTGTTCTAGGTGCCAGCTGTCCATTGATTAACAAGACATGAAGCGTGCATGAAGGGGGAAGGAGCAAAGTAGTATTTTCATATAATGATGAGTGCTATTAAAAAAAAAAACCAAAAAACTAAAGAGCAGGGAGGTAGAGGATGATGGGCAGGGTCCCAGCTGGGAAGACTCCTCTGAGGCGAAAATCTGAAAGCGTAGACCTGAAAGAAATGAGGAAGCTAGTAGCCACACAAGGATAGGAGCAAAGAACATTTTGGCACAGGAAAAAGTAAGCAATGCTGAGGTTAAGAACGAGTGTATTTAAAGGCCAGAGTGGTTGAAGCAGAGTGAGTGAAGTGGGGAGGGGTAGGAGATGAGGTCAGAGAGCTAAATGGGCCTGAAATAGGGTTCAAAGGCCACACTAAGAAATCGAATTTTACTGTGTGTGATGTGAAGTTAGCGACTGGAGCCAGCAAACTTTCCGTCACACTATTGAAGATTATTTCAGCAGCTGTATAGAAAATGGACTGTAGAGGGCGCTAGAGCGGACACCCCAAGTCAGAGAGACGCTCCTCGAGTGGTCCAGACCAAACCACGGTGTTCCGGAGGCGGGTGGCAACCAAGAAAGCAGTAAGAGATGGCGGGACTGGGGTTATATTTCGAGATGAAACCAAGAGGACTTTCTAAATGAATTCATGGAGAGGGTGAAAGAGGGGTCTCAGGGAGCAGTCAACAAAAATGAATGTGAAAGCAGCATCTGCACTCACAGTGACCAAGTATCATAGATGGTCCTCAAGATCTGGAGATCTGTAATGTGCTCTGGGGTGACCAGTTAATTACAGGTTGGCCACAGGCCTGGCATTTTGCTGTATAACATAGTCCCTCTTTAGTGAGACCTTTATTCAGGCTTGAACCCTCTGAGAAGACTTCTCTCAGAGACCAAAGGGAACTGCAGAAAGTGCTGCGTCTTGATGAGCAAATACGCTCGGCCTCCTCTCACTGGGGCAGCTGTGGAGGCTGCCAAATATGTAATGTGTTTTTGTGTTGTCATCCCTCTTTCAAACTCCACCTCCCATTGCACAATGAGTACCTGGCTCAGGACACATGTGCAATAAACATCTGCCGAATGACTGTGGAATAAAATCACAGAGGGGCTTAGACAATCCCAAGTCTCCCTTAGAAGCCATATTTCTATGGCTTCTAGAGAAAACAGCACTATCCAGGCTAACGCAAAAACAGTAAAGAAGTTCAGGAGAGGGTGGAGGCTGACTAATCCACAGGAGTTCCAGGTTACAGCCAATAAATGAGAAACAGTGATTTTGCAAGACACAGCACAAAGGGCTAAGCAACAGTCCGAGCTGGGATTTTGCAGCTGAACTTGATGATCTCATCACAGGACGGTCAAATGGCAGAACTGAAAGAAATCTTAGAAAATCTGTGGATCGACTCTCATTTGAACAATATAGAAATTAGGGTGAAATGGTTCCAGAATAGAACCCAATCCTGTGGACTCCAGATGACAAATTCTTTTTCCTATCACACTGATGGGCAGTTATATTAAACTTCGTCTTCTGTAGGCAGGCTCAAAGGGTATTCAGAAGCAAGCTGGACAGACAGTCTTCTGAAATCAATTCTAATGTAAGGTTCTCATTTTAGGATTCAGGTCCATGAAAAAAAAATGATCCCTCTTAATAAACTTTTCCTCTCATCATTCAAAGAAAATAACACAGCCCATCATGGTTCCCTTTTTGACATGGCTGCCAGGAAGCTTAGAGCTAAATTGAACATTTAGTCCTCACAACAATAGAGGCCTTAGTCTTAGATAAACAGTACTTATTTCCCACCTCCTCTTTATGACTTTTCATGTTTCATAAGTATTTCAATGGCCTTATTATATGTCTCAGTTACTGTTAGTCGTCTCAAATTTGTTTTGGAAGTCAGCCAGGTCTAAATCACCAAAAAAAAAAAAAAAACCAACCCAAAATAGAAGGAAGATTTCATTTCTCTTGTGCCCTGGAACCGCTACTTAAGAGTGTGGTGTCCATTTTCAGATTCCACCCTTGACCTAAAACTCAGACCTCACCTCCTGCCTTTATATTTATGGAAAGGGGAGCCCACCACAGGACAGATTGCATACAAATGACTACTTATAAAATTGTAGGGTCTGCCTGCTAACTTAGGCAAATCCCTGGAAACGTCTCTGAAATGAAAACAAGATGTGGAAGGAGAATGCCATGCTCGCTGTGCTGACGTGGCGGGAGTTCACTTGCACCAGGACCCTGCAGGGCACAGTGCGGCCCTGGAAGGATGGTCAGCAGGTGGTGGACTGGGTCTCATCCAGCCCCACAATTTCTGCTGACTACTCCCCAGGCCCGAGATACCAGATCACGCATGTAGCCTTCATCTCTTCTGGATTCTAGCCACATCAGGAGATTAAAGCACTCAGTTTCTGAAAATATGAGGCTTACTTTTCCCTCCCTAAAATGAAATTCCTCCTAAACCACAAAAATTTAACCCAGGCAGGATTAGGAAGGCAACAAAGGCATCCATGCAAAGATCTTTCCCCCTGCTCCCTTATTGCTTCTGTCACCATTTCCGTCCAGGTAGCAAGAGAAACCTTAAGAAGGCCCCCAAAATGTCAACTTTGCCACAGGATTTCACATTTATGCATTTGAGCCTGAGACTTCCTGTGGCTTTTTTGTTTTTCATTCTTTCCTGACTTTCAAAATTTTGTTTTTTATTCTTATGGTGTTGGCCATGATTTCCATGATAATCTACAAGATACGTTCAGAAGAAAAATGACTTCAGGAGGTGCTGTTGCTCATGGAAATAGTCCTTCCTGAAAACATCCATTTGGATTCTGTTCGTGATCTCTTCTGAGTCAGAGCCAATTTGTTCAGATAGAGACAAGAAGATGCTGCCCCAGTGTTCCCAACACCTTGAAGGATGAAGACAGTTCCAAAAACTGGTCACATTTCTTCAGAAAAAAATCTCAGGAAAATGATGAATGCAGGCAAGCCTCGTGTATGACATGTGGACTAGTACTAAAGGGCTCAACCTGGACCCAGACTGCTGGGATATTTAACCTCACCTTGGAAACTTAGACAAATTGTTAAACCTTGTGTAATATTTTACTCATCTGTAAAATGGGGATAATATTAGTGCTTGATTAGTGCTTACTTAGAGCAGGCTCTCAAAGTTTGGTGTGCATCAGAAACAAGAGGAGGGCTTATTAAAACACAGATTACTGACCTCATCCTCCTGATTTCTTACTCAGAGGGTCTAGGGGTGGGGTGTTAGAAGGGAAGGGTAAGACTGCATTTCTAACAAAGCCCCAGGTAAAACTGGTGCTGCTGGTTCAAAGAGCACTCTGGGAGAACCACCATCATAGGGTTATGGTACCGATGGTGTAATTAAGAAACATAACCTGCGTTAACAATGACTTTTAATGCACTGAGGTTAACACTATGCCTCGTAAAAAGTTAGCCATGACAAATGGTGTCCAATCTTATTATCTTTAAAGTTGTCCCATCAACTTACAAATCACAGCAACCTTGCAGTTAAACTGTATTAGAACCCATTACAAGAAACCTTAGTACCTAGAAGGGAAAACCCTATTTAGTTCCTAACAGAAATATCCTTACAGAGCAAATACATTCATAAGAGGTTATAAATGGTTCCAAGTACTCAAAAACAATTCTATAGGTCATTGGGGGGTTTGCCCCTGAAACTCATCCCTACTCATCTGTACATCTCTTATCAGGCAGAAGAGAAACAAAAGCTGACACAGCTACTTACTGAGGTCTCCTGACTTTTCTCTCATAGTAAAAACGTCAAACCAGATTTAGTCACTATGGTCAAAAAGAAGTCTTCCAGTCGTTTCAAGTCTTTAGGGAGCCCAGCAAAGGTGGACGCAGCAACTGGCAGTTAGAAACATCAACAGCCTCAAAAGGGTAGAGGAAACAGACGGTTACAAGCCAGGGGGATTGTTAAAAAGCTCTCTCCACAACAAAGGAAATGAACGCAAATCCCTAACCTGCAGGCGTTCCAGCAACCCTAAGGCCAAAGATAAAACGCTCTGATGAAAAGCTGTGGCGGGTTAAGCTCTGTGTAGAGAAAGAGGATATCAAACAGAATGTTGAAGGCTAAGATGTTTTCCTTGCAGGACTCTAGCCATACATGAGTCTGAAAAAGGAGGAATAACAAGGAAAGCCACACTGTCTTTCCCGTGCCACGCATCACTCCTTCCTGGGAGAACACTTCTTAACACCCTCAGGTAGAGTGCCTCTTCTGTTCTAAGCACAGGGCAATTCGAGGTTCAGTAAGAGGCAGCCTTACTGAACCTTAGCAAAAATCTAACTTCTCCAACTCAATCAGATCCAAGTTTTTGGTTAAAAAAAAAAATCTCCAGTGAAATATGAGCGTTAGATAAAGCATTCTTGCATCGCGATGGCTTTTGAGAAATTAAACAAAGGGCGCAAGTTTGGAAAAATGAAAATACACGCTTTTGCCCGGACAGTCAAGAACGTAACATGCCAATCATTTCCCCTGACACTTCCCTTTCCAAAAAGTACGTGATGACTAGCACTGCGCTGTTAACATGATTCCAAGAAGACGATTTTTCATTTCTAGCAGGGAAAGACGTAAAAGTGGGCAGCCCGTGGGTGAACGTGGAGTTTGCCCCTCCAGCCCACAGCCTCCCTGGCCTTGACACGGCTGGAGGGAGGGAGACACGGGTCCACGGATGGGATTCCGGGGCTGCCACGACTCACCTCGCCGATTTCAGGCTCACGGCGCCCCGACGGCCGGCACGGGGGCGCAGGCGAGGAGGCCGGCGCCGACGAGCGCTCGGGCCGGCCCCCGGGAGGGCGCTCCAGCCGGGGAGGCGCGCGGGGGCCGGCGCGGGGCGGCGCGGCGGGGTGGACGCGGGGCGCGCGAGGGGCGCTGCGGGTGCGGCGCGGCCGGCGCGCAGGGACAGAAGCGCGAGCAGGAGCGCGGCCAGCGCGAGCAGGAGCAGCGCCGCCGCCTTGTTGCGGAGCTTCATGGTGCGGCGCGGCGGCGGCGGCCCCCGGGCGGCCGGGCCCCTCTGAGCATCGCGGCGCCCCGGGCGGCGGGGCGAGGGCAGCGGCGCGCGGCGGCCGCCTCCTCCGCCCGCCCGCCGGGGACTGGGGTCCCGGCGGCCGACGGGCGGGCGGGCGCGCGACGGAGGAGGAAGAGGAGGGAGGGAGAGAGGGGGAGGCGTGAGCCGGCCCGAGGAGGGGCAGCCTGCGCCTACCGTACTGTGTGGAGTAGCTGCCCGTCCGCCCACCCGCCGGCAGCTAGGCGCTCGGTCTTCTGGTCCGGCCGCCTCAAAGCCCCTTACTCCTTCATCCATCCATCCATCCATCCATCCACTGACCCATTCTCTCCCACTCCGTTCCATTCCCTCGTCTACTTCCTCATTTCACTCGCTCACTTACTCTTCCATTCCATCCCCTGTTCACTGTATTCCCTCATTATCCCATGCATTCCCCCCGTCATTTATTTTTATCCAGCTGTCCACGCACTCGCGCAGCTATCCACAAGTCCGATCAGGCCGGGGCATCCCTGTCTCACTTGGCCATTGTAAGGCCTGGCAGTACGATAACATGATTCCAGCTCCATATAGTCTGAAGAAGTTACAGAGCGAATTTTAGAGTCTGGGTTTGAAATTTGCCTCTACACCTCACTGGCTAAGTGATCTTGAGCAATTTGCACGGCTTTCTTGAGCCTTTATTTCCCTCCATGCAAACTGGGATCGTATTGCTGTTCTCCACAGCGGTGTTTGTGGGCCTTACCTTAAACAAAGCATTCGAAGAAACTCACACGGTGCTTAGTTCACAATTGCTGCTCAATAAAATATGAGCACCAATTATGTGATAATTAGTACAGTAAAACAGAGCTTGTCCTATATACATAAATGCACGCTTTCTGACATACATTTGAGATAGAGTAATAAGTTCACAATCCGGTGGAGAAATGCATTCTTCTGAGGCTTTAACAGCCAGAATGATCAGACCAAGTTTCTGGAAGTTTCTAACTCTTCTTCCAGGGCATCCCATCTTAAATCTGAACCATGAAGGCTCCTCCTCTTATTATTTATCGTGAACTGACAGCCAGTGTACTATTAACTTGCTTTTCAGCTTGGCCATGGAACAAAGAACGCTAGTTATGGCACTGTCTCTGAGGTTCTACAGGATTCCTGTTGCCTTCTACATCACCTAAAATTCAATTATATTCCAAATAGTTCTCATATTAGCATTACATTTTAATTCTTTGAAATTTTATTGTATTTAAAGTTCTAAGAATGAGTACATATAAACACCTGAAATCTCTGGCCAAGCAGGTACCTGGGAGATGGCAGGATGCAGGCTCAGGGTGTGTATGGCAGATGTTGCAGGTGAGTGAGCACAAAAAATTCATTGAGTCTCACCGAGGGTGAGGTGCTGTCTCAGTGAGATACATTTTGGAATTGTGGAAAGGATGTTTTGGGTTGTCAGTAACTGGCAGATTCTACTGGCACATGCTGGACCTCCTACAATGCTAGGACACTCCAGTAACACACAAAAAATCATTCTGGGTTGGGGCTTCTTTGGTGGCCCAGTGATTAAGACCGTGCTTCCACTGCAGGGGGCATGGATTTGATCCCTGGTCAGGGAACTAGATCCTACATGGCACAGCCAAGACCTGGTGCAGCCAAATAAATAAAATACCTTTAAAGAAAAAGAAATGTCTTGGGCCAACTGCCAACATGGCGATGCTGTGGAAAAACACTGGGTTAGGCTCAGGCCTTCTAAGTTCAGAAATGACCATTATTATTATGTTGGTATGTGACCAAGCGAAGCAAGAATTTCCAAACTCTGTCTTGCCACCTCCTCTCTTCCTCAAGAAGAGACACGTGCAACAAGAATAAAATGAGGCCAAGTCATACATGACTAGCAGTTAAGGTTTTGGTCTCAGATACCAAAATAGAACTTGGGCCAGCTAGGTTTGAACAAACAGAGGACCCTGATTTATTCAGCCTTGCTGGAACAAAGGAAAGGCCTGATTTACTTCCTTTCCCTGAGTTCAAATTCATGTTCTGGTTACTGCTCTGACATCTAATGTCATGGAAAAAGGGTTCCAGATACATTATCTAGGATTCACCCAGTTTTTCACTTGGATGTCTAATATACCAAAAGCTTTTTTTATTTGTCTCTCTATCCCAGAAATCTGTTCTTTCCCTTGGAATTTTGGCATGTCTAGACACCCAGATGCTCAAGCCAGAAATTAGGTAGGAAGCAGCCTGGGTTTCTCTCACACTTGTATTAGTTATCTGTTGTTGTATAACAAACCCCCAAATTTGGTGGCTTAAGATAATACACATACACGGACTTCCCTGGTGGTCCAGTGGTTAAGACTCACCTTCCAATGCAGGGGATGTGGGTTTGATCCCTGGTCAGGAAACTAAGATTCTACATGCAACTAAGCTCACATGGTACAACTAAGCCCACATGCTTCAACTAAGACTAGACAGCTGAATAAATAAATATTTTTTAAAAAATATTATACACATACAATCTCATGCTTTCTGTAGAGTGTAGCTGGGATCTCTGCTTCACAGCCTCTCAAAAGGCTGTAATCTAAGTGTTGACCCAGGTGTGGTGGTCTCCACTGGATGCTCAACTGGGAAAGGATCTGCTTCTAAGACTCACATGGCTGTTGAAAGGGGTGGTTTATTCAGAGCATTGTATTGAGAATTTCTGTTTTGATGACTCTTTGCCAGAGACTACCCTTAGTGCCTTGCCGGGTAATTCTCTCTATCAGGGTAAGGACATCAGAAGAGCTAGAGAGAGAACACAGAAATGACGGTCTTATTATCTATTTTAGGAAGTGACATTCTATCGCAATGCCATGTTCTTATTGTAAGCAAGGCATTAAACCCATTCTACACTTAAGTGGAGAGGATTACACAAGGGCCTGAATACCAGGATTCCTGGGAGCTGTTTTAGAGGCTGCCTCCCTTACCTCGCATAACTGAGAGTCAGCAAGTTCTGTCAGCTCTACCTCCAAGGTGCAGTTGACATATGTCCACTTTTCTCCTGGGTTGTCAGTAAGGAGTGTTTGACAAGACCAAACCTTGCCCAGTTCCTCATGGTCTTGTTCTCATTGTATTTCATATAAATTATTCCCACTCCAACCCTCACTACTTTAAATTGTATGATGTAGCTCTTTTGTGGCCTAGAAACCTCTTTGCTTTTCCCCATGCCTTCTTCCAATCCTTAAACCAGAATAATTTTTTTAAAAACATACACTGAGTCCTATTTCTCCTCTTGGCTTCCCTGGTGACTCAGCTGGTAAAGAATCTGCCTGCAATGCAGGAGACCTGGGTTCGATCCCTGGGTTGGGAAGATCCCTTGGAGAAGGGAACAACTACCCGCTCCAGTATTCTGGCCTGGAGAATTCCATGGACTGTATAGTCCATAGAGTTGCAAACAGACACACTTGAGTGACCTTCACTTTCACTTTCTCCTCTGCTTACAACTCTTCAGGGATGGCAACAAATTCTTAGATATAATGCCAAAGGCACAGTCCATGAAGAAAATTATTGATAAGCTAGATTTTATTATAATTAAAAACTGTCCTGTGAAAGACAAATGCAAGAGAATTGGAAGATAAGCTACAGACTGAAAGGAAAGATTTGCAAAAGACACATCTGACAAAGGACTGTTATTCAAAACATGCAAAGAGCTCTTAAAACTCAGCAATAAGAAAAGAAACAACCTGATTTAAAAAATGGGCTGAAGACCTTAGTGGACACTTCCATCACAGGTGATATACAGATAGCAAGTAAACGAATGAAAAGATGCTCCACATTCTCTCACTGCTGCTGCTACTGCTGCGTCGCTTCAGTCGTGTCCGACTCTGTGCGACCCCATGGACAGCAGCCCACCAGGCTCCTCTGTCCACGGGATTCTCCAAGCAAGAATACTGGAGTGGGTTATTCTGTCACTAAGGAAATGCAAATTAAAACAACAACGAGATACGACTACGCACCCATTAGAATGGCCAAAATCTGCACACTGACACAACCAAATGCTAATGGGGATGTGGACCAACAGGGACACTCATACACTTCTGGTGGGCATGCAGAATGATACAGCTTCTTTGGAAGACAGTTACAAAATTAAACATACCCTTACCATACAATCCAGCAGTCATGCTCGTTGGTATTTAGTCAACTTATGTCTGTTGACTTATTAGTAATCAGTAGTAGTGGCTTTATTAGTAACTGTGAAAACTTAGAGGCAACCAAAATGTCCCTCAGCAGGTGATGGATAAATAAACTGTAGTGCATCTATCACTTTGGGTAATAATGGTGTGACAATGTGTATTCATCAGGTGAAAGCATGTTCCCCTCTGGTGCTGAGATGTTGGTGGAGAGAAGACTGTGTATGTGAGGAAGCCGTAAGTGTATCAGAATTCTCTGTACTTTCCCTTCAATTTTACAGTGAGCCTAAAAATATTGCTCTTAAAAAATCTATTTTTCTTTTTAAAAAACTAGCAGATCTAATAAAAATAAATTTTAAAACAACCAAACAAACAAGCAGATGAAAGATTTTTCATTCAAATACTCTGACTCTGCTGTCTGTGTTGTTGACCATGGCCCTCCACCCCCTGCCCCAGAGGATAATGTAAATATGTAGCTTGAGTAAAGAGAAGGGTGTAAAGAGATCTGTACAAGGTGGTAGCCAGTAATACCTCAGTTGAAAGGAGAGGAGGCTTGGGGTTATGTCTGTATCAGTCACCAGGAACAGAAGAGAATCTGACTATGACTTTTCAAACTTTGATGGGTGGACAAATTATCTGGAGATCTTGTCAAATGTAGACATCAATGTCGTATATCTGAGCCATGACCCGAGAGTCTGTATTTCTAATAAGCTGTTAAACATTGTTCCTGCTGCTGGTGGTGATCCAACATTTTGAGCAAGGGCTTGAATAATAAAGATATCTTTATCTTATGGAGTAAGAAACCCAGAACAGATG